TTGAAATTACAAAAACCTGAAAATTATTCCATTTGTTGTACTTATTATAATGTCTTTCAGTACTCATTTGCATTGACTACTTTACTTGTTAGCAATAAATTTGTGTATAGTAATCTTCAACATAATATGCTTTGCTTCTAAAGAAAATATTTTTCAAATGAAAGCTTAATGAAAACAACTATTAGATTTTAAAGAGTTCCTATTGAGAATTTAAGTATTCACTAGAAATTATCGGGTTGGTATAAAGTAATTTCGGTTTCTAGTGTGAAATAAAACTCAATTTTTTCTATATAATGAACATTTCTGCATAAAAAATGAACTTTAATCGGTCAAATATCTTCCATTCTGTTCGATGACCTTTTGCCATCTTTCTGGTAACTTCATGATACCGCGCTAGTAGAACTTCTGGCCCCTAACAGCAAAACACTTAGCCAAGTGTTCTATAACTGAGGTCATCGTTATTACTGAAATTTTTACCCTTTTTTTTTAAACTTCGAAATAAATGATAATCCGATGGTGAAAGGTGGCAAGGTCTGTGACATCACTTCCCAACCAGACACCAATAATTTAGTACATGCTATTAAGTACGCACGAGGCCTGGCATTGTCGTGATGGAACACTATTCGTTTGCGACTTCCTAATTTTAGCCTTTTCTCTTTGATTGCTTCCTTCAGTTTCGTAAGTTATTGTCAGCAAAGACATGCATTTATCTTGGAATCTTGGTTGTTGCTGTGAAGCAGCTCAAAATACACACCTTTATAGTACCACCAAGTCGCCTAGATGGTATAGTGGTTAGCGGAGCCTAACTGCGATACCGAAGGGCCCGGGTTTCTTACGAATCCAGGAGAAGGTATGGATGTAGTTGTCTGTCCCTTTATAAAAGGCAAAGGTGGCCCACCTATTAGGTGCCTCCATAATAAAGAGACCACCACATCTGGCCTTAGGAGTGGCCGATGCCAACATAGGAAAAACAATAATACCATCAAATAGGCAGCATGATTTTTATTCTGGGGCAGTTTAGCTTTCGATATTTGTACTGATTCATCATGCTTGGGCCATTATCTTTTTCCATTAATGTTATTGTAGAAGAACATCACCAGTGATAATTCGTTTCAAAAGGGTCGACTGCATTACGTTTGAAAAGCGTATCGGAAATATGGTTTCGTTGTGTTAAACGTGTTTCCCTGAATTCATGCATTCCTAATATCGAGGTTCTTAACGACTCCTAGACATCTTATGTGATTTTCAATTATTGTGTGCGATACAGTCAACCTTTTCGCAATCTCTCGCACAATTACATGACGATTAGATTCAATTATGGCTTTAATTTTGTCATCATCAACTTAGAAAGATCGGCGAGAACACAGGTCACCTTCAAGTGAAAAATCTCCAGAATGAAATTTCTTAAATCAATTCTGGCACACGCATTCGGTTAAGCAATCAACACCATAAACTTCACATATCTGAGAGGCTCAGCCTCATTCTTACCCTTTATGAAATATATACATTTTCGACATATTTAACTTTTATTTAAGTTAAATATGTCGAAAATGTTTTATTTTTGCACCCCATGTTAAAACTGAACGTAAATGAATACAGAGCGATATTATTTTCAAACCCAGTAATATTTTTTAAATAATATATATGTTACCGGCAGTGTTTGAAATCCGGCATTGTATGTAATGCCTAAAACTAACCGGCAATGTATAAAAGATTCATATTACACACATTTCCTAGGCAATCTATAGAATGCCAAATGGCAAACCGGCAAAGTATAAAATACATTTCCAATTCGTTTCAAAAAACCGAAACTACTTATCAGAAGTTAGTAAATGACGTAAGAAAGCCAAAATGACTACTAAGAAGCAACCACGGGACTACTGGCCGCTGAATCGCTAGGATGTGATGTTTGTGGAAAACAAAAGTATACAGGCATTCAGTTATTCTGTTAAAGAAAACGTCAGTACTATACAGTATTACGTCACGGACGCTGCTGAGTTATTTCCCGTACTTCATGAAAACTCATTTGAGTACTGGGCGCGAACGACGTGACAGAATGCTGAAGGAACTTTCAAACCAAATACAAAAACGTTACACTGATTTGGTTACCTACTGGTATTGAACTATACAACCACCTTTGTGAGCCCTGTCAGAAAAAAACAAAAAGGTATTAAAAGGGCATTGTGAAACTTATAACTGTTTCTGAATTGAATTTCCGTTGTCATATAGATCTTACTGATTTCCAGTCTCAGCCAAATAGAAAATACAAATTTATTACGTTTTATCAAGATCATCTCATTATTCTTTTACATGTTTCGAATAACAGTTTTTTAATGGCACTCTTCCATTAATTTTTCAAAATAACATTTGTACTTTTGAGGAATGAACGTCTTTTAAATAATAGCCTTATCATAACATTTTTTTTTTTTATACTTTGCCTAAAGAGTATTTGCCATTCTATAGAATGCCTAGGTATTATATACAATGCCTAGGGAAATTATGTAATAATTCTCATATTTCATACTTTATCTAAAAACGGCGGGCATTATATACAATGCCTGGGCATTCTATAAGAATGCCGGCGTTTCATACTTTTTCAGTAACATTCTATACATATGTTACCGTGAAAGACCGAAATTGGAGAATGTCGACTTTCACCGGAGAATGTTAATATTCACCAAATACGTTGGTGAAAGATCGAATATTGCACTACATTCTTGTATATTCGGACCCTCACCGGTGTATGTCGACAATCACAGATATGCTCTGGTGTAAGTCGAAAAGAGAGGTCATAAAGTGCCATAATAGTTTAAGCTGTTGCAATAAATAAGATTTGAATCACATAATTTAGTAAGTTTTTTATTACTTTTATTTTATTTTCTCATTTAGAACGTACTGTATAATCAATTAAGATTTTAACTTCTATTATTTTCCTCTCTCATTTTGAATGTATTGTGTGTTTTAGGTTCTCATGTTCTTAAGTTCTTATTTCAAGTCTCAAATGGTTTATTCGCGACTGAATTACGAAGAAGAAAATATAATATTGTTATATATTCACCATTAGTACATGGTGAATGTCGACATTGACCGGTGTAAGTCAGAAATAAGAGAATTTGGAAAATATTTCGGACACACACCAAGAGACTATGTGAATGTTGACATTCACCGGTGAAAGTAGACATTCTCCAGATTTCGATGTTTCACCGTAACATATATATATAAAAGTTTGATAAGCAGGTTTACGCCTAGTTAACAGTGTTATCGTGATATTAAGAGCTGCTTAAATGATGTCGGCAAACATCGTGGCAGTTAGGTTACATAAAACAACTAATTATCATTCATAATCCAGTGTTTTTAATAACAAACCTGTTAATAAATATATTTTAATTAATTATATAATAACAAAATATTTGCAATTTAACCCTTTGCGGCACAGTGTGTCCGGTCTGGACACACCTAAAAATTTCCTTCCGTACGCACAGAAAAATTGAATGAAAAAGGGGGTACTTTTTCCGTTTTGCCGGCGCAAGCGATAAAGTCGCCAATAATGGTACAACCGATACCAAACGGAATATTCTGGCTGGTAACCTTTTACACCTCATTTTCAAAACAAGTCGCATCAGATTGATTGTTTCTTTCAATACTGGCATATAATTACATAGAATTTTTATAAGAGAGTTCAGTTTTATATGTCTAAGGCCATTTTCGGTAATTAAGTCAATCAGGATGCAATCACAGCGTTTACCCGAAGCCGAAAATACTACAGAAAAAGCGAACTCAAGGATTAAATTCATCAGTTCTAATGAGAATGCATTAGTGAAGTAAAGCATTGCAGTTTTACATAATTTCTGAGTAAGCTATTCGTACGAATTGAAATATTTCTTGCATTTAAACTTGTGTTCCAAATTAAGATTTAACTTGAAATTAATGTAGATAATTACTGAGAGCAATTAGATTTTTGTAGTGATTAGTAGTTTAATCGTGATTACGTGAGATGAAATTAGCTTGGGATAAGATCACTTGGGGTCACGTGATATGAACCGGCGAATTAGGATGTTGAACCATGAAAGCATAGTAAATTCTTAAATTAATGTCTTTTTACAAATTTATTGTCTTTATTTATTGGCTTTTTATAAAATTTTAAGCAATATTAAAATGTTTATGCCTTTAAAAAGTATTCTTACTAACTAACATTTTTTTAATATTTTTTACGTGTATACTGTATGTTGTCGCCAATAAAGTCTGCTTGGCGAGATTTGCGCCGGCGAAACGGAAAAGTACCGAAAAAGGATTTATAAATTACTATAGGTTGCTCTGAACCTTCTTTATTGATAGTAGATGGCAGCTCAGCAAAACCCCGGTCCATATATTTTATCCATGTTTAATTTTTTAGGGACCCTCATTTTTCAAAGAAATCTTCCAGATTTTTTTAGGGCATAAAAGGAATTGTTTGAAAAGAAATTTCTATTTTTTATTTTCTATTTGTTATTTTTCTGGCTGTATGCTAATCTCCTTATTCTATATTAGTTTTAAATTTTTACATTGAAATATTGCCTAAAATCAAACGGCAAACCCTAGGTGTGCCCAGACCGGGCTCACCGATAATCTAGGACAACAGAGTCTGTATTCTTCGTTTCTCCGCATCTCACCCAATCAGTGTGCCCACTTTGGGCACACCCACAGAATTAAAACGATAAGTGCTATCTTCACAAAATTTTACTTGTGTACTCCTCTAGGCCTAATTAGACTGCCTACCTTTTTTTTTTTAAATCAAAACTCCAACTTTAAAAGGCAGCGTTCCGGAAAGGGTTAAAATTGAAAATTTTTTTCAATTTGAATTTTTTGAAATTTTTTTCCTTCAAAATGAAATGTTTATTTTAGTTATAAAATTCCTCTACATATTCTCAATGTATGGAACATAATCGAAATTTCAAATATTATCCTATAAATGATTACATAAATATTGCTAACAAGATATATCGCTTTTTGAAAAAAAAAAAAAAAAAAAAAAAAGTCAAATCTCTCGAATGTTAATGTACAGAAGTCATATTAATCAAATGCTTTATTGTTTCTTTACCATTTCAATTCAATTGCTTATCCTTATTTATTCTTCTTGACGCAAATATCTTTTCAAAATAGCGTACCAAATTTTTCAAACATAACAAAAATCTCCTTCAGTTAGTTGCCATTATACTGCTCAAAATGGTTGACTGAAATTCCAGAACTATCCTGTTGCTGCGGCATGTAATTTGGGCAAGAAGTTCCAGGAGTTGCAGATACAGGATTAACATGTCGAAATGCTTGTTGATGTACTAAAATATAATCTTGATTCTTTCCAAACGCTTGATTCAGGTGCGGATGTCGTGATGCGTACGTGCACTGTGGTAGATTTTGCTGATAAATTGGAGCATTATTCCCTATGATTGTGTTCATCTGCAACATCTGCATTTCTCCTCGAAAGCAAATCTCAGATATAAGCCTTTGTGCCATAGTTTTTTGCATTTTTGTCATTTGTCGTAGTTTCATGGCAACGAACTTACAGAAAGCATCACAATCATCGGTAATATTCTGAGCACTCGTTCCCATGGAATCGCAGTCATCGTCATCATCATCAATTCTCATCTTCTTCTTGCCATGCATACAATTCTGCCGAAAATAATTTAACTGCGTCTGTGATGGCGGTAATTGTTCTACAAACGATTCTATGTTTGGGGATACAGTACACTCCAGAGACACAGATTCATCCTAAAAGAAAAATAATAATAGTAAGAATTCCATTTTAAATCGAAAATTTAAATTTTTTTAACTCTTCGAAAAAAAATTCTAGTTTTTATTATTTACAAATAAATACTAGCACAAAATTTCTTCAAAAAGAAAAAAAAAATGTAATGAAATGTTTTATTGTAGTTCAGCGTCAGAAAGAATGCAAAATAAAAGTATTACTATTACTTACTCCTAATATTTTTGAAAATAACTCATAAAAAGCTAAGAAAATATATACGTATGTTTAAAGTGATATGCAGTTATTTTAGATTTACAAAAGAATTAAGAAAAATTAAAAATTATCTAGTGGAAAGCTACAAAAATTTATAGAACTATATTGGATGCGTGTAATAGTTCTATTCGATTTGTGGATTTTGCATCTATCGGACGACTTATATCGAATCGGACTCATACATCGAATCGGAGTTATATCGAATTGGATGACTTATATCGGATGATACATATCCGTCTGTAATCGGATGACTTATATCGAAGATGAAGCTAAGTGATTGGAATCTGCATATCGAAGATGACACTGAGTGATTAGAATTTGTATATCGATCGTGACACACTGAGTGATTGGAATTCTGTTACCAACGCAAAGTGAGGTAATATAGCATATAAAGATCCTGTGTTTGTCAGACTAAGTCATGTGCTGAATGATTTAAAATGAAAAATCGAAAGGAATTTCTCAAAATAGTTCGCTGCTCGAGTCTGATAAAGGCAATACTGCAGGCGTAACTCGGGATAGCATTTATCAAGTATACTGTGAAGAGGATTAGTGGAGGCGCTAAAACAGCAAAAATCAGGTTAATATTAATAAATTTGCACAACTAGTTTCGAAAGTTTAAATATAAAACCATCTTCTTCAGCTGCACTTAGGCATCAGCTGAAATCATTTGCACTTCTCCAGAAGAAAAAAAGTTCTATATTTATACTTTGAATCCAGACTTAAAAAATGAGACATACGAAGATGTTTACATTAGTACGGTAATGGCATTTATATCAAATATATTACCAATCCGTTACTTTTTTATGAATTTTTGAATATTATGCAGATTCTTGTTGCCTTGACACCTGCAATAATCGTTATTCGGCTGGTTATTTTAACTCGGATATGAAGAAGGTGTATTTGACGATAAGACATATCGCCGGAGATTTTAGAAAATTACGGGATGGAGGCAGATGATGTGCAGATTAATCACGTTACAGTCGTCCATCAGTGATTTCTGAGAAATGCCTGATTATACATACAAAATGAAACATATTCAACAGTCTACAAACTAAGAAAATGCTGTCAACAAGTGCCATTTCATTAACTGAATGTTGGTGGTGGTGTATTTAATTATGGCAAAGCACACTAGGGCTATCTGCCTAAGGGGAGGGATGCCTTCGTGGAGGACTTTCTAAGGAAAACTGGCTCGTATACACGTTACACACGGGGAAAACGCCCATGCAGCCAGCCCGTTCGCGGGATTCGAACCTCGGACCGAACTACCAGTGTTCAGCGACTTTACCGCTCGGCCGCTGGTGGGCGACCATTAACTGAATGAACTTGTCACTAATGAACTTCTTCCTCGGAAGGCTTGATGATATGAAGCATGTGAAAATAACCTCCACAAAAAAAATTTTGATTCTTAAACAGAGAAGTTTTATCAAAGTGGGTTAAATTTGCTACCAGACTACCAAAAAGAGGACAAAAAGTAAACCATAATGATGGCAGTTGCATGAAATTATAGCTGCTTTACTTTCTGTGCTTTCTGATTCCGTTTTCCGACCGAAAAACAACTAAGCTTAATTTAGAAAAAAATCTTGGAAGCTCCGGACGGGTAATTTTACTGAGGTAATCACAAAAGACTGAATGTATAAAATCAAATGAAACAATATAAAAATAATCAAACTGTTTACATACTTTTAGGAAGTTTTAAAAAATGAGACTTACGAAGATGTTTACATTAGTACGGCAATGGCATTTATATCAAATATATTACCAATCCGTTACTTACATTCTGGATGTTTTCAAATATATTTCAAGAGTTTCACTAGGTAAAAGGCGATTTGAGCTTTGCTTGCACCAGGCATATACGGGCAATGGAAAGACGGAAGACATTTAACCCTTTGCGGCACAGTGTGTCCGGTGTGGACACACCTAAAAATTTCCTTCTGTACGCACAGAAAAATTGAATGAAAAAGGATTTATAGGTTACTGTAGGTTACTCTGAACCTTCTTTATTTATAGTAGATGGCAGCTCAACACAAGCCAGTCCATATATTTTAGCCATGTTAATTTTTTTAACACCCTCATTTTTCAAAGAAATATTCCAGATTTTTTTAGGGTATAAAAGGAATCGTTTAAAAAGAAATTTCGATGTTATTTTTTGGCTGTATGCTAATCTCCTTATTCTATATTAGTTTTAAATTTTTACCTTGAAATCTTGCCTAAAACCAAACGGCAAACCCTAGGTGTGCTCAGAACGGGCTCACCGATAATCTAGGACAACTGAGAGTCTGTATTCTTTGTTTCTCTGCATCTCATCGGTCAGTTCATTGACATAATGCTCGTTTCAGCACTCTTTTCGAAGCTCTATTCAATCAGTGTGCCACTTTCGGCACTCCCACAGAATTTAAACGATAAGTGTTATCTTCACAAAATTTTACTTGTGTACTCCTCTAGGCCTAATTAGACTGCCTACTTTTTTTTTTTTTTTAATCAAAACTCCAACTTTGAAAAGTAGCGTGCCGAAAAGGGTTAAGACGTCAGAATGAGATCTTGAACTGGAAACAGTATTCATGGAATTCATGGATTTATATGCATATTTGTATTCATGGATTTATATGCATATATACTGTAAGATTCTCACTGGTGTATTTCTCAGTTACTATTGAATCTTAAGAACTAGTTAGCGAATAATCGCTTCTTAAGTTCGTGTAACAAGAAACAATAAGATGGAAGGGTAACCAACCCTTTATTATTGCAATAAGATTTAACAAAACTCCGTCTTGGAGTGTACAATCAAAGCCGACACTTGGGCTTGAACTTAAGAGACTAAGAAATAAACTAAAACTAAGATTAACTAAAGAAATATAGCCGAAGCTATCAAGATTCTAATCGAGTTGACCCCTTAACTCTATTTGACTACGAAGCTTAGCAAGGGCCTGAGTACGGCCGAGCGTAATAACAGCTTTGAGAAAGAGAGTAGCCAAAAGGCAGACGCGCGCAAATCAGAAACTCTGACTGTCTCAAACTCTGCAAGTAGACTTCGCGGTTTAAATACGGTTCTTCCTCATTAAGTATTCAGAAAGATTCCAAAACTACGTTCTGGCCGGAAGTAGTAAGTTGAAGTTAAGAATTTGACAGGAAAGGAGCTTTAACTTAAAATTTAACTGTTAATAAAATTAACATAATCCTTACAATACATATATGTGTGTGTGTACTCACACATACATACTTACGTACATATATACATGCATACATGAACGCATACATCCATATATACGTGCCTACATACCTACACTTCTGAATTCGGTCTCGATAACAGAAGAGTATCGACAGTTTATTTCAAGAATTACAGTATTTGAAAATCGGAAAAGTCCTTGCATTAAACTGCGAACATTACACGACAAAATCATTCTTCTCTCCAAAAAATCATTTAAAAGTACATACAGAATATAAATAAAGGAAAAGGAAAGATACTTTGCTTGCAATTATGGGAAAAGTAAAGTAAAGATGTAAACCAAATTATGTCCATAAATATGTGCACTGTGGTTTGCTGAAGACTCCTAAAATCATACTTAAGAGTATTTTCGTACAATCTTGCTCAGTACTTACGGAGAGCTGTCTAAGGTTTGATTTACTTAACCCGTTACCTTATTACATTATTGTTATTGTTTGTTATAATTGCAATGTAGAGCTGGTTATTTACTGTCAGTGGTAGTTGCAATAGTTTCTTGAAACTGAATATAAACTAGACATAACAGAATTATTACTGAGATCTACACAATCAAACTATAATTAGTCAGGATAGATACACACTGGAGATATACCAAAGAGACTATAAGGACGAAATCGGAGACATTTTCCAAAACATATTCATCCAACACCATCAAAACAAAAACCAACGAAGGCTTTTAAAGTTTACGCAAAACATAAAAAGCGCAGTGAAATAACGTGCGGATGCAAAAAGGGTAATGTTGCGTAGCAAGTTTCTGTTTGTTTTGAGAAATACCACACATTGTAGTATTTTTAGTTTACTGTCATTGATTTGAAATGTTAGTAATAAAACAATACACCTCCTAATGCATTTTAATAAAATTTTGACTAAAATATTATTTATTTAAAAGTTAGGAATTATTCTTATTCACGTAACAAATTTTACAGACAAAATATTTAAACGATTGAGAATTTTTATCTTTCTTTTTAAGTAACGATAAAAATATTGTATGGAAAAAACACTAATGCATGATTTAATAAAAGGGAAATAAAAGAACAAAAATAGAATTATCAAATAGTAAACGCAGTAATATTAACGTCTACCGATTTGCGCAAAATGTGGCCTATGAAAAATCTATTACTGGTCATGACGCATGATAAATCTTTCATCGAAAGCGGCATACAAATTCATCGCTCAGCTAAAGGAAATTGGTTCTTATAACGTGTTACACATGGGAAAAACCACGAAAATGACCATGCAGCCAGCCTGTTCGCCTGAAATCAAATTCAAGTCTCAAGCCAAGAAAGGGATACCTTTCATAGTTTGAAAACAAAAAAGCATTTACCGTTTGCTAAGACTTAGTTATTAAAGACCTAAAATATATATCGAGTCGAGCAATATGTTCGAATAAGAATTTAAATTTAATATTTTTAGTAATGACAGATGTAGAATATTTGGAGAAAACTATACGCAGTTCTTGATCCTAATCATCTAAGAAGGATGTTCAGATATAACAGGAGATTTATCAGCTGGACTTTATTTTACTGAATA